TATATATATATATATATATCATTTAATATCAAATATTGACAGCAGAAAATGAGTTAACTATTACTAAAAGCTTGTGTTCGAGATGAAAATTGTGTTAGATAAATTTTTATTTTATATAAATTCAAGAATCTCATCGTTCTAATTAAACTATTTTAAGACATCTGATATATTTCATTTTTTTTACATCGCCGACGCTTTTTTTCGTTTTGTACGAAAGCAAATTTCGTTTCGTATGGAATTAAATTCAGTTTGTGGTTTCATTCAATTCCGTATAGAGCGATCATCCGTTCTTTCACTGATGCATTCATCCAATACTTTACTTCGTGATCAAACAGGAACTAGCTAATCAAGTTTTGATGATATCTCTGTATTCATGCTTATAATACATCTTCATAATTTTTAAGAAATGCCATATCTATTAGCTAACATTGGCATCAACACTCGATACGCGATGCATATCAGTGATAAATATCAATATAAGTAAGAAAATATAAGTAGGAAAAACGGACACAGATGTATATACTGAAATTATAGAAAGCTCCTTTGAATAACTAACAGTAAGACTTGAAAAGGCAAATAAGGAGCAAGCACGGATGTCTTAGTGCTATTAAATACTAATATTACTTGTTAATATTAATATGATAGTGGAAGGATAAAAATGTCCAGCATGTCAAACGTATGTATCGAAAAAAAATTTTTTTTTTCTTCGATTATTGTACGCGGCGAATCAACCTTTCATACTTAGATCGATCCTTGAATCCCAATTTCTTTATACATATTTTAAAATTCCCCTTAAATCGATGACTCAAATAGATTTATTGTGTATGTTGCGAAAAAACTGCCTCCGCCAGGACTCGAACCTGGAACCTCCCCATTTTCCGGGCGGGACGCCTTTCCATTCGGCCACCGAGGTTTCGACAGTAATCTCGCAACACAGTGTTTATAAATTCTCTAAGATGTAAGATGAGAGAAAGAAAGAAAGAGTCGATTTCGTAAGAGATGTTATTATACAATGGAAATAGAAAGGCGTCCCGCCCGGAACATCGATTTAAGGGGGATTTTGGGAATTTTAAAATATATATAAAAAATTGGGACTCAAGAATCGGTCTAAGTATGAAAGGTTGATTCGCTGCGTACGATAAT